CTCTATTATGACTCTTTTGTCTTTTAGTCTAATTATTCGAAAAACCTAATATTTTAGTTAGGTCATTGACATGTAAATAGTATTTAAGCGACTAATCATTTTTGCCATTTTAATCCTGACGATGGACGCTTAGTCCGAAAGCTTGATTTATATTTTACGTTTTTTAAACTGTAAATAAAGATTTTTACCAGTGCAACATACTACCACTACTATAAATTACAGTATTATTATATACTAGAGTATTTATTAACATGCGATAATTTTTAGTCAAAATAACTTAAACAAGTGCCAACGTTCATAGTGTAAAATGGATTAGTGATGAGTCTATGGCCCACTAGTAAATTTTCATTATCAAATTATAATTTCTCAAAACTAAGCGCTTAAAAAAAATACTTTGTAGGCATATTAGCACCAGTCATAGGGCCATTATATGTTGAATTATAATATAAATAACAATAATATATTGTAGTTTTTCAATTACCTTCACAGTGACAATGCTGTCAGACTGCCAGTGCAAGCATGAGCCGTGAGACATGACATTAGACAAACAACGCGGATTCTTCGGCAGGAATATAAAAATTAGACGTGCTAGCTTCTTGTTATTTTCTCTCTCTAGACGTCTTAATTTTTGCAGAGAAATTACTTATCTAGAGGTATATTTTAGCAAAAAAATACATTTCCAAACTGAAATATTTCATCTCAAGAAGGCCATGAAAAATTTGTACGCCAGCAATGAATTGGTCAGCGCCAAGGCAAATTCGCTTTTGCGCATGCACTAAAATGTCCATGAATCGTGGAGATTTTTGCAGCCTTTACCAGGGTCTTCTCATTTTTCACGCGCCATGCACGAAGAAGACCCTGGGGACGAGGTTGATATACATTATATTTCTTCGTTGCACAATGTCACCCGTTCCGCACGTTGTAACCAATAATTTATTGGCGTTGTATTGCCATTGTATGCAATAAAGTATTGGGTTGTAATGGGCCTACAATTAATCCAAACGTTAATCCTAATCCAAACCCTAATCCTAACCCTAACCTCTAACCCCTAACCCTAACCCCAGCTCCTAACCCCTAACCCCACCTGCTAACCCCTAACCCCACACCCTAACCCGCGAAGCCTCTGCACGATTTGCATCGCAAAGTGGGACAAAGTGGGACAGAGTGTAAACATCGAAACAAAAGGTGATTTTTAAGCTAAACAAGAAACGTCTTTTTGAAAATTAAATCATTATTTAATGCATGATTGATTGACCTCATTGACTAGTGCTTTGCATGTTTGCAGGGGCGTAGCCAAGGGGGGGGGCGGTCGCCCCCCCAATCGTTTGAAAAACCATTTTTATAAAACGTTGAAATCCGGTTAGAAAATTGGGGGGGGGGGTTAAAGAAGACCAGTAAGCCAGAAAAAATGGGGAGAAAACTACTGAGTTAATTTATATCATTTGTGAAAATTTAGCACGCAAGTACGTGAATTAAGTACGTATATCGGAAATGTCTTAATTTTTTATGTGGTTGAAAAACTAGGTATTAGGCTTACATCAAGTTCCATGCTGTTTTAATTGCAAAATCAAAATGGCGGAAGTTCCTTCAGATCTGATGAATTATTCGTATGATCCTTCCGCTCCATTGCCTACAGGGAAAGAATCGAGAGATCACGTAATAAGCAAAGGGCCATGCCAGCCAAAGAATATTTCTTTTCCGGAAGACAAGCGAAAACGAAAATTCTCATCATCTCATTCGCATCTTGGTACGATAAATTTAAGTGGCTGGAATATTCAGCGGCTAAGAATAAAGCATTTTGTTTCTATTGTAGAGTCTTTAATTCCCAGGTATTAAAACGTTTAGTACATTAGTGATCGTGTATTATAAGTTGTTTAGCTGAATTTGTCAATGTATGACATTAGTTTCCAAACATTCTCATTTTTTCAAATGGGGAAAAATAATCTACTCAGTTTGTCTATAAATGGCTGCATGGCTATATATAATGTGTTTAGGTTGCATCAAAAGGTGACCCAGCCTTCATAAAGGTTGGATTTGGAAATTGGAAGAAAAGCGAAGTTTTCTCGAAGCATGAAAAATCAGATTGCCATCGGCATTCCAGCCAAGCATATCGTCAATGGAAATATCAAAAACCAGTGGATCACCAAATTAGTGAAGAAGCGGCGAAGCAAGAATCGTATCGCCAGCAATTGGTTAGACATGCAAGAGATGTATAAATATTTGTACAAACATGTTTACCTGATATTTCAAACTTAAAGGCCTGAGGTACTACCTTCTCGATTAAGATATTGACATGTTGCACATGAATTATGTTTTAGGTGAGAACAAATAGAAGTGTCATTGGCAAAATATTTGATGTCGTTCGAACTGTTGGCAAGCTGAACTTGCCTTTCAGAGGGCGTCGTGAGGATGAGCAATCAATGAATAAGGGTGTATTTAAAGAATTTATTACTCATATTGCTAAAAGCGACATAGTGTTACAGAATCATTTAACTACCTCTCCTGGTAATGTAAATAAATTCCATAATTTTTGCATTTTTATACCAACTACTCCTATAACTAATGACTTTATTGACTTGATACATAAACATACATACATAATACTTTATTACTTGATGCTTGGTTAATTTGTAGACAATACAAAATACACCTCGCCTGAAATTCAAAATCAGATGATAGCAATTCTTGGCTCTAGCATTTTGGATGAAATTTATACGACGAGTTAAAGAGGCAAAGTTTTATGCAATAATTGCCGATGAAACACTGGATATGAGCCAAACTGAACAGTTGTCATTGCTTGTACGATTTGTTTGGAATGGCGAAGTTGAGGAACGTTTGCTGGCGATGATGTCGATGAATGAAACAATAGCAGAAGCTCTTTTTGAGGCTGTCACCCAAAAGCTACAGCAACATGGAATAGATGTTGCTCACTTGCGTGGACAGTGTTACGACGGTGCAAACAATGTAGCAGGAGTGCACACTGGCTTGCAAGCACGAATCAAAGAGGTTTCACCTTCTGCTCTCTTGACTCATTGCTATGCACATATTCTCAACCTTGTCATTGTGGACACTATGAGCAAAAACAAGATTGCCCGAGATTTCTTTGGAACGTTACAGAACTTGTATGTCTTTATCCAGTCTTGCCCAAAGCGACATAGTGCTTATGTGAAGAATTAGAAGGAAATTAATGCCCATGCCGGAGGAGGAGAAAAAAGGGAATATACCCTTAAGAAGCTATCTGATACCAGATGGGCTTGCCGTGCAGACAGTATAGTAGGAATACACCGTACTTTAGATGCTGTAATTGCAACCCTGAAGGAGGTTAGGGAAAATGAAACAAAGGCGGCCATTACAGCTGAGGCAAAGGGACTGCTGCAAATGTTCAAGACTTCGAATTCATTGTTGCTCTAGAGGTAATTTAAATAATTGAACTGTTATTTTTTTAAAAAGATATGCGTATAATGAAAACTGTTCTTTTTAATTTGTTCTATTTTATCGCAAGGTGCTAAAAAAGGTGCTGCATCTTAGTAAAGGGGTTTCAGACAAGCTTCAGTCCGAAGGCCTCGACGTTGTTTCAGGATGTGAGAGAGTACATAGCTGGTCTTCTTACTGCAATTAAGGCTCTTCGATGCGATGTGAAGTTTAAAGATATCTGGCTTGCAACCCCAGAGAGATGCGCAACCAGATGGATGAGAACCCAGATACAGCCGCTCAGGTTTCAGTCAAAGACAAGTTTAAAATTTTCTTTTTCTACAATGTGAGTTTTTAAAACGATTCATAATGTGACCAATGTCTTAGAGGTGGTAAATTTCACAATCTTTATTTAATTAGGTACTAGACTTGATGAGCAACTCGATTGAAACTCGTTTTAACATGGAAAGTACAGCTGTCCTCAAAGGCCTCGGATACCTACATCCTGCTCGAATATCGCATTCACAAGCATGGGAAAGCATTTCTGTAGCGGCAAAATGGTTCCAGAATGATATTGATTTGGAGGCTTTGGAGACTGAAATATTTTCGTTACAGCTATCATCATTGGTAACAGATG